ACATTTTATATGTTCCCTTATTGGGCCTAAGAGGAATTTACTTACTTATTTACCAACACTTTTCAAAAGCTTTAAAGGGCCAACCTAGAGCCTAGACCCTGAGCCCTAAACCCTACACCCTAAACTCCAATCCTTAAACCCTAAACCTTAAACCCTAATATTAAGCTTCATAAATCCTTTTCCTTATGAGCTCCAAGCACCCTAAACCCTAAACCCTAAACCGTGCACCTAAATCAGGGCTGCAGCCCCGTTCCGACAGCCTCCTGTGGAACGTCCCAGCCCCGACGGCATCAATGGGCGGTTTCAGATCTCGGGCGGTTGGGTTTGGTGCTTTTCTTGGAGGGTCGGGGGACTTAGTAAATAGCTATTTTATAGACTTATAAGTACTATAACCCTAAACCCTAAACCCTAAACCCTAAACTCTAAACCCTAAACCCTAAACCCCAATTACGGTCCCTTTTAGGGTACTTATAAGTCTACTTATTGCCGACTTACCAGGTCTCCCGACCCTCCAAGTTGGGTCTGTGGTTTGTTGTTTAATTAGGTGGTTGTCAAAATGAGGGTCCCTTTTTGGGTACCCTAAATATTAGGTGCCGTATTATATCAGGGACCCAAAAAGGGACCATAATTTTGACAACCACCCAATTGGGTTTGACTAGGTTTGGGGGTTTAGGGTAGAGCTTGGGTTTCCGGGTTTATGGCCTCGAGTTTTAGCTTGCACATTGAGTTTTAGGATGTTTGTTCTTTGCGCTTTCGGGCTTAAGGCTTTGGGCTGAGGATATAAAGTTTAGGATTTGTGGTTTAGGGTTCACGGTTGGGGTGCTCAGTTAAATAGAGCTTGGGCCTCAGGATGTGTCGGAAAGTGCGTTCAATTCCCTTGCATCTGCGCATTTTTGTGTGGTTCTCGGAACGAGCTGCAAGGTCTGTTATGGAGGCATTTCGAAAAAGGTTCGGTGGCATGTCATGCCTTGGCGTGGTTCAGTTCCTGACATATTCGTTTTGATGGGCGGTGCCACCGGCGATGTCGGCGATCGAGACCAGGTATTGGTTCGCAAGGCAGCTTCCAGCGTCGCCTTCGGGTGCGATCAACACCACCTGGGGGCCCCCAAAGACTCCAATATCCCTTAATTCAGGAATATACCTTATATCTCCAATATCCCTTAATTCAGGAATATACCATAAATCTCCAATATCCCTTAATTCAGGACTGTACCTTAGATCATATTAGGGATCCCTAATATGGTTTAAGGCCTGTTTCCTTAATTAAGGGATATTGGAGTCTCTGGGCCGTGCAGATGCAGGCATCGCGCTTGCCAGAGCCCCAGCTGCAGGGTTACCAGAGACTCCAAGATCCCTTAATTAAGGCATACACCTTAGGGCTCCTTTAGGGGTTTCTTTGAGGGATCTAAAGGGATCTATAGGGTTTAGGGTAAGTAATATACCTTAAATCTAATTAGGGATCCTACTATAATTTAAGGAAGATTCCTTGATTCTCATAGTACCCTTATAGAAAGCCTTATAGATTCCTTAAAGCAGCCCTTTAAGGTCTGTTCCTTAATTAAGGGGTGTTGGAGTCTCTGGGGTTTTACGGCCGCCACGAGGCGACACGGTGCGTCGCAGGGCGGTGGTGTTTTCACCCGTGCACCGAACCTGATACCCTCTCGACGTGTGGGGCGGCTCCAGAAGTTCCTTCAAAGGGGTCCTCAAAATGGCGGTTTAGGGTTTAGGGTTTAGGGTTTAGGGTTTAGGGTCTCCTTGAAGGGTTCCCTAAGGGGTGGGTTTAGGGTCTGTTTAAGGCTTTGGGCTTTTAGGGCTGAGGGCTTAATTTGGGTAGTTCTCTAAACTAGGGTCCCTTTTGGTGTACCCTAAATAATAGGTGCCGTATTAGAATACGGACCCAAAAAAGGACCATAATTTTGACAACCACCCATGTAGGGGCCCTAGTAGTTCGACCCAGAGACTCCAATACCCCTTAATTAAGGAATATACCCCTAAATTCTAAACCCTAAACCCTAAACCCTGAACCCCTTAATTAAGGAATATACCTTAAACTATAGTAGGATCCCTAACAAGATTTAAGGTATATTCCTTAGTTAAGGGGTATTGGAGTCTCGGGTTCCATGTAGGGGCCCTAGTAGTTAGAATAGGGTATATTATGTTAGGGTTTAGGGTTTAGGGTTTAGGGTTTAGGGTTTAGGGTTTAGGGTTTAGGGTTTAGGGTTATGGTGTAGTTACAATAAGGAACCCCCCCAAAAAAGATAGCATAGGTGGTTATTTAGGCCCCTACATTAAACACTAAACCCTACACCGCCCCTACATCGGGGGCTGAGGTCAGCAGAAAGGCGATTCTTGCTTTGAGCCGCTTTGTAGGAGAGCTGCTTTGCAAATTGGGGTTTAGGATTTGGGGTGGAAGTAATATAGGGAGTTTAAGTAGTTACCTATACTATTTTGGTGGGTTCCTTATTATAGTTATAGTATAAGATACCCCAAAAGCCCTATTCTAATTACTAAGGCCGCTACATCAGCTGCTAGGGTATTATTGCTGATGTTCTACTCAACGTTCCGGGTTTCCGCAATGCTTTGCGAGATGTATACCCTGTAAGGTTCAGGGTTCGTGATTTGGCTTTCAGGCTTGTAGGAATGTGTTTTGTGGTTGAGGTTGAGCCGAAACCCTAAACCCAAAACCCTAAACCCGTAAACCCTAGGTGTCTACGGCGGACAGGGCTCACTGCTGTGTTTGGAAAGGTCTTTTCACGTCCCGGCTGCTGCTCCAAGCAGTAGGCTTTAATATGTTGCATTTTAACATTGTATATCAGGTTATATAGATATATAAACCTAAACCCTAATCCCCAAACCATATACGCACATACACATATTGTATGTATATATATATATATTTATTTATATATGAATAACAACTATGTTAGATAGTATATCTTAAAGGTTCACGCATTGGGGGTGTTGGGGGTGGGGTGGTGCCAAGCTTGGGAATCCCAGCAGCATCCGGGATCATTAAAGTTTAGGGTTTTTTGAGCTTAGGGCTTTAGAGGTTTGGGTTTAGTATAGGGGCCTAAATAAGTACCAACATTATTTTGGTGCTTCCTGATTATAAATGTAGTACAACGGGCCCCCAGAAACCCTATTCGAGTCCCTAATACTTAATTAAGGCCTAAACCTTAACCCCAAACCCTAAACCCTAAACCCTAAACCCTAAACCTAAACCCTAAACCCGGGTATGACGGCCCTACATTCGGGGCTTCGGGCTTGTAACGTTTCAACCCCAAAGTCTGAAACCCCGAAGAAGAGGAGCCCTCCTTTGGCACCCTAAACCCTAAACCTTGGTGTTTAGGGTTTAGGGTTTAAGGTTTAGGGTTTAGGGTTTAAGGTTTAGGGTTTAAGGTTTAGGGTTTACAGGCCAGCTCCGGACATGCCTGGCTATAACTTGGCGTTCTTCTGGTTGGCTCTTAGGACCTTCGCCTTTTTTTTAGGTTTCTATGTGAACTAAAAAGGAGGCTAAAAGTCTAACTTTTAGGAGGGGTGCAGAAGTCAGCCCAGAAACCCTAAAGCCTAATCCCTAAACCCCTAAACCCTAAGCCCTAAACCCCAAAACCCCAAAACCCTAAACCCTAAACCCTAAACCCCTAAACCCTAAACCCTAAACAAAACCCCAAAACCCTAAACCCCAAAACCCCAAAACCCTAAACCCCAAAACCCTAAACCCTAAGCCCTGAAACCCTAAACCCTAAACTAAACCCCAAAACCCTAAAC